CAGTTAGTAACGGGGGAAGTTAGTAATGAAGGGGAGGGCAGTTAGTAATGGGGTGCAGTTAGTAATGGAGGGGAGGGCAGTTTGTAATGGGGGGCAGTTTGTAATGGGGTGCAGTTTGTAATGGGGTGCAGTTAGTAATGGAGGGAAAGGGCAGTTAGTAATGGGGGAGTAAGTAATAGAGGGGACTTTCCCTTGCATGAAAGCAGCGGTGTTCGATATATTTAAAGGGACACTATAGTCCCCCAGACCACTTCAGCTCAATAAAGTTGTCTGGGTGCCAGGTCCCCCAGGTTTTAACCCTTCACCTGTTGTAACGGATCACCTGGCACCCCAACTGGGTACCTCCGTTGAAGGATGCTCCTAGCGCTTCCTGAGGAATCCAAGCACTGCAGCAGACACCATAACCACCGCCGTCTCCTTCAGAGAGCAAAAGAGGAACAAGCTCTTACAAGAGCTTAGCAGTGAATATAGCAAGAGAGTATGCAGAGCATAGCAATCCCTTCTAGCAGATTCCCCCCAATAAGAGACGGCGCTCCAAATAGAGGGTGAAGTAGAACTGACTGTACTGGCACATACAGCCTCTTTTATTCACATTCTACAAACATAGTACAGCCCACAGGGTTTTGCAGAACAACCAATCAATCCGTACAATACATTCAGACACTCCCACACAGAATCCTCCCCTCTGCCTGTGATATAATTACTGAACACAATGGTCTAACTTAATTATCACAGGCAGGAAAATACAGTTTTACACACTATTCATAACTCTAAAAGTATACATCACATTCACATACAATTTTCAGAATCAGCATACTCCAAATACAAACATACATCAAAATCATACAAATTGGTCCAGTGGGTCAAAAGTTAGTTGGAAATCGCTTTGTGACCGCCTGCAAGCATGGCTTGGGTGTGGTAAGCCAATTACCACCAGCATACAGAAAATAGCTCTATTCACAACGACAGTAGAAACACATAAAAATACATAATTCCTATTATACTTAACAGAACCCCCACATTCAACCTATCCCCAGATAGCTTGGATCTGAGCGCTCACTATATTCTCACACCGCTCAGACACCACAAACACAGTCCAATCGCCATGGGGTTAAACCATAGCAACAAGTTCCAACTGGTCTGGCAGTGTCCCTGGGACAACGCCCTGCTGGAGAACAATAGACAGGAAACGAGGGAGGGGCACACCTTCTCATGTATTCAAAGGGGCAGAAAAAGTGTTTCAAAATCCAATAAGCCCAAATAATGTATTTTAAAGGGCAATACATCCCAGGGGCCATAGTCATATGGCAGGAGGCTGGCAATCGGTCTCCTCCAATGCCCAGTGGCGAGGTCGGTTTCGCCACACGTAAACATAGCAGTTTCAGAGAAACTGTTATGTTTACATTGCAGGGTTAATCCAGCCTCTAGTGGCTGTCTTCCTGACTGCCGCTAGAGGCGCATCTGCTACATTCAGCGTGCAGAACGTTCACAGGAAAGAACTAAGAAATGCTTTCCTATGGACTGTTTGAATGCGTGCGTGGCTCTTGCCCCGTATGCGCATTCGGCTCCACTCGGGAGATGACGGCAGGGGAGAAGAGGTCACCAGTGCCAAGGGAGCCGGGCTAAGGGTTACATAGTGATCCTTTAATCATCTGAACAAGAGACACTAGGAAACCACAGACACAAACGGTTATTTAATTATTTTGATATGTTTTCGTGCTCCCGAAAGAGACCAGCTGAATTCATGGAACTATTCTGGGCAGGAGCCTCGCGTGCGGCCAGGCAGAAATAGGACTTCCGTATAACTTTTGAGTCCCTGAGCCGATCTGGGTGATTTTTGAATATGTTGTTCCCCCAGATCGGGGCTATCAGGAGATGTATGTTTTATGGGGTTCTTATGATTTTGGGGTGTTTCCAGAAATGTATAAAAAAGTTGTTTTTTTTTCGTTTGGAGATAATTGAGTTGATACAGTAATTAACTCCATTATCTCCCAAGCAGAAGGGAGGGATTGGGTATACCGTATTGGAGTGTCTCACTGTATATCTCTGTTTTTATTGGTTTATTAACTTTGTGCCCAGTGCCCAACAAGGTCCACCTGGGTGTTACCCTTGTTGGGAAACTTGCATAAAAGGCCAGTGTGCCTCCATTAAAATTGAGTTCCTGTTTAACCCTTGTAAGGAAACAGTATATTCAAACCTCATTCGGTAGTTTCCTCCCGAACCGCCAGAGCCTTAGTGATTATAGCCCTCCGTTCGATAGATAAAGTAGATGAACCATATAGTATAGAACTCCACTGTTCTTCTTGGTTAGGGACGTAAGTAGCACTTTCCTGCTGGACACAATGGGCAGCTGCCCTGTGTTGTTGTGGAGGCTGCCTTTCCCAGCTTCCCCGGTTCAAACGAGGGCACTGGTTTCCTGGTTGCTTGCAGTAATGGCACACTGCAGGTGGTCGAGGTGTTGCTGCTGGGCCTTGTGGCGGGTTACTTATGGAGGTTCTAGGTGGTGCGGGTGTTGTTGGGGCTGGGTAGGTGTGCTAAAAAGCTGTCCGGCTCACCCCCTGTTCTCGCCTCCGGTTGTCCTGGTGCTCATCTGCTAATCTGGCGGCTTCTTCCACAGTTTTAGGCTTTCTGTCTTTTACCCAGTCTTTTAAATCGTCCGCTGTGTGGTTGAAAATCTGCTCCAATAGTATGAACTGTAAGGCATCTTCTAGGGTAGTTGCTTGGCAGCCCTGCATCAAATTCCGGGCTGCCCTGTGTAGCCGGAAAGCCCATTCAGTATGGGAATCTCTCCCTGTTTTCCTCAGTTCTCTAAATTTCTTCCTGTATGCCTCTGGGGTTACAGCATATCTGGCCAACAAAATGTTATTTACCTTGTCATAATTGTGTATGTCCCCATCAGGTACTTCTCGCAACGCCTCTGCTGCTCTGCCTGACAACTTGCTGCTAAGTACTGCAGCACATTTTGTGGAGTCTAATCCCTCCAGCGCACATTGACGTTCAAAGTCTTGCAAATAACTGTCAGTTTCCATTTCATTGTCATTAAAAGTTTTAAACGCTGCATAATTTACCTTCTTCGGTAGGTCATTGGTACTTCCCGGGGAGTGTAGCAAATCCCCCTGTAACGGTTTGTCTCGGTCCTCTCGCTCTTTTTGCGATTGCCTGGCTTGTGCCATGACCTGCAGTACCACCTCTGTTGATGGATTGGGTCCCAATACACTGAGCATCCATCTGATATCCTTCTACATCTCGGTTTCTTCCTCATGCTCCATCTCTGTATTGCTGGTTCCATCGCTCTGTATTAATTCTGCAATTAACGTGGCTTTTGTCTTGTTACTTGCCACTACACCTCGAGCTTCCAGTAAATCCTTTAGCGTGGTTCTCTTAAGTAGCTGATATTGCTGAGCCATTCCCTTGCTTGGTTCAGGACGTCCATTTGGGATTTGAATCCCTCCGCTTGCCACCAGTTGTAAGGAAACCAAGTATATTCAAACCTCATATGGTAGTTTCCTCCCGAACCGCCAGAACCTTAGTGATTATAGCCCTCCGTTCGGTAGATAAAGTAGACGAACCATATAGTAATCCCAATAGCTTCACAAGATGATTCCCTTAGTGAAACACACGAATCCCCAAACATCAGCCAAAGTCAAGAAGAAGGGTACAAAATGAACTAGCTTTTAATGGGTGCACACAGGCTTTTATGCAAGTCCCCATGCAAGGGGACATCCCTCAGGGAGGGACAAACATTAACCAATCACGTATAGTAAAAACATAACACACACACTCACAGTTCCCTCCCCTAGCTCTGGAGATAGTTAAGTCTGATAAAATAATAACTTAATTATCTCCAGGCAGAAAAATCACCACCTTTTTCCCCAATAACTGGGACACCCCTTTATACTTGGAGTATCCCCACAAATAACATGTCCCCTGATCTGGGTGACCAACATATCCGAATTTCACCCAGATCGGATCAGGGGTTCGCAAAAAACTATGGAGGTCTTCTGTGACCGGCTTAACCTGGGCTATATGCCCAAAACAGTTCCATGAGTTTGGTGGGTTTTGCCGGTCACTTTAGAAAGAGGAGAAAAACGAACAAACTACCGAATGGATCCCCCTGGCTCTTAGCAGCGATCGTTCCCCTCTGTCGAATGCACCAAAGTACCGAATAGCGCTCTTCTAGCTATTCGGTAAGTAGAGTTCCAGCGTTCGTCTTTTTGAGACCGGTGTTCGGGAAGTCGAGTGTCCGATTTCAGTTCCATACACTCGACGACCAAGTCCCACTGCCTTTGTTCGCATGAACAAAGATGGCAGCGGTTTTCTCTGCCACATGGCGTTCGGCAGTACGAACGCTGGCCGCACAGACAGAGGCATCAATTGAAGCAGCCTTTGATGTTTAACAAGCCAGGGGGGTGGTCTTTGTTCGGTAGTTACATCTACCGAATGCAATAGGCAGAAATAGTGTACTAAAAGGGGGATTTCTTCGCAACCTTCAACACAGAGCCTCATCTTGTGCTTGGGGGAATAGCTATATTCACTATTTCCTCATGTTTTAGGATTATCGGTCTAAGGATTATCTCAGCTCTCTTCATTCTAGGGGGAAAAAACATCTCTTGGTGGCGAAAACCCCTCTCTCTACTGGGGATGGCCGCTACAATTGGTGGCAAGCGGCGGGATGGTTCTTTTTCCCCTGAAGGGAAGCTACAAAGAGATCTGACAATGGAAGTATCGAATTTAGGAATGGTACGAGCAGCTTAAGAGAGCTACACTAAAGGAACTGTTGGAGGTTCTCTCGGACAGACCTAGTCAACACCTCCAGATGGTCACGGAACTTCAGAACATATTGATGGGGGGGACCCATCCTAGTTCTCCCGCAAACAGGAGGTGCGGCATGAATCTCTCCCAGTGTCTGTGAACGTCCAGAGCATTTGCTTTAATGTTCCGTTGAACCGTTTGCAGAGACTGTTGGTCTGGGGGTAGTAAGGGGAGCTCTCAATTGGCTTAATGCCACAGAGCCTCCAGAGATGGTGTGTGTGACCTCTGCGGTGAACTAGGTGCCCTGATCCGACACTATCTCCCTGTGGAAATCCCATGTGGGGGAAGATTTGCATCAGGGCCTCCGTTACCGTTTCTGCAGGGTGTTGGTCAGCGTCACTGCCTCTGGGTACCTGGTAGCGTAGACCACCACAGTCAAGATATAGTTTCCTAAACGTCCAAGCGGCAGTCATATCGAGGGATGTAGTTGTCCATAACTTCACCATTTCTGCCAAGGGAAGGCAGACCTCTGCTACCTGATCTGTCTCTCTCGAGAACAGGTAAATACTGGGGAGCTCAGGGTGAAGTTGCCCTTTATAAGGATTGGAGGGGAGGTGACTGGGGGTGGGGACTGCATTTTGTTGTTTTAACCTTTTCAATGCTACCTGTCCTGTGGCAAATGGGCAACTACGTCCCACTTGTTATGACCGCTGCTTGGACTAAGGAAAAAGAAAGTGACGGTGAGTAAAATTTAGGTTTTCTTGTCGGAGGGGCTAAGTTTAGCTAAAGGTCGTACCAGGTCTACCGCTATGCGGCTAAAGGGTTCCTCAATCACGGGGAGAGGGTGGAGCTTGGCTTTGAGGCGATCTCCCCTCTGGCACGTATCACACGTCTGGCAATACCGCATAATATCCTGCAAAATCCCAGGCCAAAATAAATTTTGGGTGTGACGGTAGTAGTCAATATCACCGTCTAGTTTTCCTTTTCCCAATAGCAGAGTAATCCCAATAATCAACGAGAAGAAATATCGCTGTAATCGCCAAATAATCCACACATGAGCCAAGGCTTAATGCTGGACCAAGTTTGATTTACTGGCACACAGAACTCACAATTTATGCAATACAAAACTCCTCCTCTGGGCCAGGCTAGATAATTGAGTTTCTACAATACACAAAGCTCAATAATCTGCTGGCCAGAAACATTCAAATTTTCAACAATTTCAGAAAAGTACTTTTTATATTACATACAAACATAATTTTAACATCCCGGGGTAGCTGATGGTCTGGGAAGCAACGTACTTAAATTTCACGAAAATCCGTTCGGTAGTTTTCGTGTCGCGTCGTGTGGAAGTTTGACCGGCTCCCTGCATGCTGGTATCCGATTTGGAGTTCCATGAAATTGGGGTTAAGAGCCGGTCTCCGTTCGCATCAATGTACACGAAAACTACCAGGGTTAAGATATAGAGAGTTCGTGGAAAGTGTTCCCCTCATTCGGTAGATTGAATTTCCCGAACGCCGTTCGTGGAAATAAGCCAGGCAGGACTTCCATGGCGGACCGGGTCATGCTGGAGGGCTATGCCGAAAATAGTTCCAGGCGGTCGACGCCTAAGTCCCGCTGACTGGCCATTCGGGAGTTTAAGATGGCCGCCATCCATTGTTCTTCGCCACGTGTTCGGCTCCCGAAATGGCGGCCACCCGGGAACTCTCAATTAACTTGCGGTTACACGCGATTCTATGTTCTAATTGCTACCCAGGGTGGTCCTT